AAATTACGGAATATTGTCTGTGTAAATACCTTCTTCACAGGGCTGACTGCGAACTTGGAATTAATCTCTTATTATGCTGTAGCTCTGAAGTCTTATATTATTCTACTCCATCGTCCATGTGGAATATGTTTCGATCATTGAGCGAACTGTGGTAGAAAATAAATTCTTCTACGCACGTTGAATGTTCTGGTCATAAGTAAATTTTATTAGTTGATTCCTGGGCAGCTTCCATTACTCCATTGGTTACGGCCATGGGCGTTGCCAGCCGCCTTGCATACACACCAGACAGATGCTCGATTCCATCGTCAGGTGCGTTAGATTTGCTTTAATACCCATCACTTATCACGATACTTCACATTGCATTATGAAGGGTCCTGCCTTTTTGTAAATTTTAGCAGCGACATACAATAAATCCATTTAAGGGACTGGAAGTATTTTTTTTCAGTTTATCTTCATTGTTAGTTATCGACTTATTTTCCTATTCTTTTAGTAACAAATTTTCTTAAAAATCCGTTCCATTACCTCAGGTAAATAATCCAGTAGAACAGCCGAATCTTACACAAGAATGTCCGTAGAACTTTCCATAATTTCAAATTTTCGGAATTTAGCACTGATTTAGTTCTGGTTTAACAAAATGGTGAGCTTCCTTTCCGAGACAAACCTTTTACATCTCAAGTGGTGTCAAAGATTTTTCTACTTGTAGTTCAATATAACGAAGCATTTTTCTTGTCACCTCTCGAGCTCAGATTTAGGTAGGATGCCCAGTAGCCGAAGAATCAGCTTCACGAAAGGATCCTACTCGGTTCGTAGCTCGTCATTCATTGATAGCTTTTTCCTTAAGATGCGTGGATAGACCAAGTACAGGACGTCACTAAATTATAATATTATATGGCCTAGCAGGTTTTGCTTGCGTTTGTGATCGGAAGATTTTTATGTTTGCACTTAAAAGCTGTTAAGGCTCCAACAAAAGTCTACTATTCATATGTGATCTCAGTGTACAGGTAGGATATTGCACTAAGTGAAACCTAAAGGTTGCTCTCGAAACGGAAGTAAATCGGAGCAATTTAGGCCGCCATTCTGCTGAGAGTAGCTCAGTAGTGGTTAGACTGCGACACTGGATTCTTGTAGTGAAGTGTGGGAATCGCTGAAAATTTGAATATTTATCCATCAGAACACTTCGAACTAAAATTGTCTAGGAGACGGCGTTTTTTCAGCACGCTTGTTCAGTTTTTACCTAAGCAGAAATTTTGGCACATATGGTTGTTGTAAATCGAAAATTATTGCTACTTTAGAGTGTCCAGTGCTGCGAAAGCTTTATGCACAGCGATGCCTGTTGTTCGAGTAAGTAAAAGTGAAAGAGGAATGGATGGGTTAGAAGATTTCCGCATTTGTTGTTGCGTATCTGTGAGTCCATCACGCTTCCGAATGTTAACGTTCTCGGATTTCATTCCAAAAGAAATCTCTCATCCAAAGAGAATAACGAGCATAATGCTTCTCCGCAAGTTTGTCACGGGCTTTCTACTATCGGAGAAGAAAGGGCTTTTAGCATGCTAATATATAGATGATCCGTCATTAGGCAGGATCGTGGAGGCCGCATTACATTTTTATCAACCAGATGAAGCTTTGACAAAGCGATTAACAACTGGTAGCTTCTAATGTTCAAAGAGTTTTCTCTAAAATATAAGGCCAAGTATTAACCTTCCTTACTCATCAGCTTATTCTGTAGTTTCTGATAATCACTTGACGAACCGTTGAGTAGAAAGTTTTCCTGCCCAATAGGAAATTGAATTTTTAAGAAAATGGGAAGATTAGCTTTGCCATTCTTAAGCATAATTAGTTCACCATAATTTTTCCATGTTAGGGGCACAAAAACCCTCTAAACATTTACCATATATGAGGTAGATTCCAGAGCTGTTACTTAAACCATTATAAGCCATTGTTTCGTCACGTTTAAATGCTACTAAATTCAAGCTCTTCCTTGTTTTAAACCCTCATGATGGAACAGGCAAGAGATTCTACAGGGAACATTTATTGCTGATTCCTAATCTCAGTTTTAAAAGCTCAGCTATCGAGTCAGTGATTTCCATCAGGATTATGGCTACGCGAATTTTATTACGCGCTGAACAAAGAAGAAGGAGTACTTATAAGCTGGGCACTTACTTAGCTACTAGTAGATTTGTCAAGCAGCTCAAAACCATGAGGTAAACGTCAAACAATCGTCGTAGAGCTACAAAAGAGCTCCAAATATAGCCTTTAAAAACGTTGCACTAATATTTCATCCATGAAAACGAAGATAGAACTGCTTTCATGTAGCCATAGCGATGCCAATATTCACTATGAAAGATTGAACGCACTGAACTCCATTAACAAATATCATGTGCATTAGATAGAAGAAGCTAATCTTCCGCCATCTTTCGTAATAGTGTTTCTTCAGCATAAGCTGCGAACGTCCATTATTAGCGATGAGATCGTCTAATTCATCATGGAACTTATATAAGATGCTGTCCGCCTTGCTCGATCTCTATGCTCCATGCATTCGATTTCACGTAGTTAAAGATGACTGAATACACCTTCTCTGCTCTACCCAATGCCTTGCGGTCGTTTACCGATGTGTTAATTCACTACTACTGCCATCTTCCCTGAGAAGGCCGTTATTGATTTGTCGGCCCCGTGGGAATGCAAGGACTGGTGGCCCCGGAGAGCGAGATTTAACCAATGATCACGTCTATATTGCAAGACACGTCTAACTACTGCGCTATCTGCGCCCTTGATCCGTCATTATGTGCAGAAACACAGCTGTTGTTTCCTACCAGTTGCATTGCCATCACAAATGTCTGCATTGGTTGTGCGTCCCTCGTCTAAATATCATAAACGTTTGGTAACTAGCCTAAATGAAAACATATCATAGTTCCCAGTTAGACATCTGGTTTTGCGTTGAACGTCGCTCCCAGACACAATCTCCAAGCAACTTCCTCTTGATAGTATTAGTAGTACTAAAAAGGAACATGTTTTACGATAACAGTTTTAGTCACAAGACATTTGGTAATAAGGAGCAGACCAAGTATTAAGCAAAATTCCTTGGAAAACTTGAAAAACCCTTCACAGATGAAAGAAAAATCTTGCCAAGTTGGTCGCTTTGGTTCCTATTCGTCATAACACACATGTTTTAATATGTTGCTGTATTCGTCACGGCAGTTGATGTATAATTGGCCTACACGATGGGTTTCGAACCAGCTGATGAGCAGGACGGCTTTTCGCCTACGTTGACGAGTTCGCTTGTCAATGACCGTCGAGAACACTTGAAGGGCATGCTGATCAGTGTGCTGTAGGGTTAACTGGGCAACAGAATGTGCGTGAGCGCGTGTTACAATCTGTCCCATCATTAAAAACCCTAACGTTACTAATTTAAAGGCAAAAAAGGTATGAGTGAATTTGCATTGACGAAACCAACTTTGTCTACAATATCTCTTCCATGTGTTGCAGTTCCGACATGAAAATAGCAGGACTTAATTTTAAAACTTTTTTATTAGAATATCGAACAATGATAGATTAAGTTTTTTGTGCTATTTTGTAATGCTGTATATAATATGATCGCAATGTTCTGTCTTAATCCATCGAGAAAAACTTGTAGATCATAAAGAGATTATCTATTTTTCTTCCTAGAATACTTACTCAATCGGACACTTGGATGGCCTGTCTTCACTGGTCGTGCGGGTCCCAGCACTTTTCCATTCCTCGGAGGTTTACTGGCTTAGCCATTGTGGTTCCCTGGAATCCCGAGGTCAGCTTGGCGAAAATCTGCCCCAGGTCTTCATCACCACAGTCAGTGGCCGCTCTAGTGGATCAGAGCGAGATTTGCACCATACGACTAGTTTGATACCAGCACGGTGGTGGATCGTGATATCGGTTCACTCTAAGCTGGGCTTCCTGATGGAAACGCTGGACTCCTTCCCAGCTTGGGTGGTCTCGCCGGGAGAATGAATCCCCCTGCTTTACATTGCAGTAAAACCCAGGAACACCTCCCAGCCACGATGAGGCGGTAATTCGTTGAGAGACCTCCCAGAATACCAAGAAAAAAAATCTAAAACTGATTGTTCGATGTGACTTCGTAAAGTTTGCTTTTCGTATGACTGAGTCTTAGTTGCGTTTTATTTCTTTTATGATGAAAAATTCTCATCTTTTTTTGAAGAGAAAATCGTTAACGTTTCAAATTTGAGTTAGGATGATAGCCATGAACTTTTGAAAGTTTCCTGTAGGAGATTTTCGTCTCTAGAGTAAGTGTCTAGTAAATTTGTGTTCTTCAAAGCCATATATAACACGAAGATGGCCAAAAAATGATTTAGCTTTTGAACACTTAGTGAGAATACAACCACAATGGTCCTGAGGTGTTCGCAAAACTCTGGGCCGCAGGTTTCTGCGGCGAAATCGAACCTCGTTATTACTCTTTCCACGGGTTAATTTGTTCACCACCACACTATGCGTGTCCTTCCATGTTCACTGAACATGGAATTTTTCAGCTCCTTATAAACTTCACTCATTTAATCCAATAGAATCTGGGGTCTTTGCCAGGAAGATATAATTTTCTTATTTGTGTCAGGATGATGTTCTAATTTTCTGGAGCATAGCAAACCGGATTTCGTTCAGCAGACATGGTGACGTTCCCAGTAGTTCATTCTACATGTTTTCGGCTTCTGCTGTGACTGCACTTATAGCAATTTAATTTTCGCTTTTAATTTTTTAACTTTTCTAAGCTTAATTTAAACCGAACGTGGCGATAAATAATAAGCAAACATGGTGAATTAGTCAAATAAATTTAGAAAAGCCAATAAATAAACTAATAATAATAGGTAATAATTAGTAGCAACAGTAAATCTAACCAAACATAAGTTTAAAGGAAGTATTGGAAAAAGTATGTGGACTTTTATAACAGAGGAAAAAAAAGACGAGTCTATTTTATAAATGAGTCAGGTATTCCCTTCCGTACTCTAGTTATCGAAAAACTATCGGTAGTCGGCGAAAAAGTCAGTTTGCTTACAAACGCCTTCAAGAGTCTTAACGAAGGTACCACTGTCGAACTCTGATATTTGATACAGTTCTTTATATTCAGACGCCTCGAGCAAGTACTGCACGTGCATCCCGAAAAGTACCAGCAGCCGAACCACCATAGCCGGGCCAGTCGACTCTCGCACCACGGGACGCCAAGCGACAAGACGCGTAGCGCCAGCCTGGACACGATGGCGATGCTGTGAGTGCGTGAGAGTGCTGAGGAAATCGCTCGAATCTGTATATGACAAGTGCTTTGCTAAGAAAAAAGTTCTACGTACATCATATTTAAACAGAATCCAGATGCATCATTTATAACAAAGAAACGCACTAGTTAGCTCAATAATCGTGATCACTTCAATCCGAACGGATGTGAATGTGAGGAGTTCTATAATCCTTGGTGACATTCTAGCTGTTTGTTAAAATTTCCATCACTGTATAGTTACAAGCTGATTTAGTAGAACATGATAACGGGTTTATTCTGATTCTCGTATTTGTGTGCTAGTTATTTCAAGCGAGAAAAACTTCCTTTTGACAACCGACTTTCATTTAAGCTCGCCATGATTAGTCAATATTTTGTTGTATTGATAAGTTAGCGCGAGTTTCCTATACAATTTTTATTGTGGCTAACATCTTGGCGGTAGTGTCAACAACAGTTGTTTTTTGCATTGTGGATGTTCGTAGTCGCATCGAGTCGAATCGAATCGAATCGAATCGAATCGAATCGAATCGAATCGAGTCGAATCCGAGTAGAGACGAACACTGTAGCTCTCAAGAAGCCGAAGGCACCGAAACGTTAGCAACAATAGAACTTCTGTAACAACCATGTGTTAGCTTACCAGTGCAGTAATGTCATGGGCGAAATTTGTTTTTGGACATCAAAATTTGCTCAATAATTCAGTGTTTTTTCTTGATGAGCAAATATAAAGTTGTCAACAAACCATTCATTAATACAAAGTTGCTGACGTTTCGGTGGTTTCGCCTTCTTCAGAGCCTGGAAAGGTCAAACTGACAAGCAATCCACTCGGTCAAACACTATCATAACCTCAGAAGTAAAAGCGATATAGAAATGAGTAATAGCACAGAGAACAGCTTCCTTTAAGCACTTTTAGCAGTGGTTGGAATAAAACCACTCAAAGACTCCAGCTACTTCGCGACCGTTTGTGTGACCGTCTATATACAATACAAAATTGCATAATATGTCCTAACGGTGGAGACGCTTGCTGCACGAATTCGGGTACGATGTACCTGATCTCTTGTGAAGTGTGCGAAACCTAAAAAATACCTAAACATCAAGTGTCAAGTTAAAGAAGACACTCCCTCCACTGGATGCGCATAGGACTCACAAACATAACGAAGAATATGTTGAACTGGAAGTTACCATCGTCGCACAGGAATTTAAATGTCCAGAGCGTAAAAGTTTCAAAGCGTTTTGGATGAACTCCAAAAATTCAAAAATGAACTGCAAGGTGGAGTGTCTTGTGATCACGTGTGATCTCACGTCATATGTCAGACCGACTTTCTGAACCGATACACCCACACACACGTTTCTCATTCATGTACGACTCCATGCGACTGGTCTTCAATAACAACCAGAGCACTTAAGAACAGCAAAGCGGTGCGTGCTTAAACGAAGCTTTTAACTGTGCTATTATTCACTAATGTATTGCTTTTTCTGAGGAGGTTATGATAGTGTTTAACTGAGTGGACTGCTTGTCAGTTTAACCCTTCCAGGCTCTGAAGAAGGCTAAACCACCGAAACGTCAGCTGCTGTGTATTAAAGAATACTCTAATAACAGCTTCATATTCGCTCATCAAGAAAAACAATGAATTATTGATCAGTTCCGAGGTTAAGAGAAAGTCGGTCGTGGGATGTGCTCAATAGTTCCGCTTCGAAGAAATGGTGCTTTTCAGTAAAAATGGCCGACCACGTAAGGAGTTTTGATTCTTTGATTAACCAGAGAACATTTTCCGCATTCATTCCTGGAAAGTCGCTTATTTGGCATCATTCTGTTGTGGTAATCCAATTTTATTGGTGTTGCTAATCAACCCGTAGACGGCCTTCCTACCTTCTTAAAATGCCTTTTTCTCCATAACTGAAGCTTGCTTATCCTTTCCGTTTTGAGAGTACGAAGCTGTTCAAGCAATTGCCGTGGAAGCAATTGCTTCATCGTTCATTTCACTTCACTTACGAAATAAATTCATGGACTTTCGATATACTCCTAAATTTCGTCAGTTTTCACTACGAGAACGGTTTAAAGCACAGAAGTGATGAAGTCCAAATACGCGTTGGTATCGGATACTCTCGAAGCTTCTAGGATAACTTGTTGCTTCAATTCTATGGTTTTGACTCTCATGCTGTTGAAGTGGTGTGCTTTTGAAAAATCAAGTATATCGCTGGTACTTCATACAGGAATTCCCAGGATCGATTTTCTCTTAACCTTGGAATTGATCAATAAAACATTGTTTTCTTGATGAGCAAACGCGAAGCTGTAAACGGCGAGATTTATTAGATGTAGTACTGGCTGACGCTTCGGCGGTTCCTCTTTCTTCAGAACCTGGAAAAGTCATGTTGACACAAGATTTCATTCAGGAAAACACTCATAACCTCAACAGACATAACTTAGAACATAAGTATTCATTGTAACACACGTAAATGCTGGTTGTCGTTGTGTTATTTGCATGAGTTGGTTGTAATAAACATTTAGGTGTTAAGTTTTGTCTGCTGACCTTATGGTAGTGTTTGACTGATTGGGCTGCGTGTCAGTTTGACTCATCCAGGCTCTGAAGAAGGCGAAATCGCCGAAACACCAGCCATTACTGTATTGAATGGATCTTGCTGTTTACAACCTTGCTTTATCTCATCAAGAAAACAATGTGTTATAAGTCGAATACTATTTCGTCGGCATCCCTTTAGCGAGGGCAAAGCGTGATGTCATTGAAAACGTGTGCACTCTGACGAACGATGCTTAAAAAGTCGCAGTCGAATTCCTGTCTATTCCGACATCTTTGGCTGTAATTTCAGCTGTAGTGGCTGTTACATCGTTACTTCCTGGCATGGCTTTATCTGCAAGTCTGAAAGCACCTCTGAGATACGCGATGCAACTGGCTTATGATCTTTGCGTTGTAAATTGGTGGATGAGGTGGATCTGGGCATTCTGGGAAGATCGTATACAGCAGTAATTGAACAGATCTTTTTAAGTGTTATCTTTCCGATCAGGCGTATCTGTTTGTACTTCCCATTTCATCTTGGACTCGTTGTCCACCAACTATCGATTTTTCATTGCAAATATTACATCTATACCTCACGGTAGGACTCTACTTCACAGATGCATTGGATTCTCTCGAATTCATCGGTTGGCACCATTCGAAGTTGAATTGTCACGTAAGCATTAATCATGTCTCAAACCTGCACTCTGACGAACGATGCAATCCAGATCCTTCTATTTGTTGGACGTTTTATATCGAAAATTCGTTTGAACATTATCATCTAATGTTCATGGTCTGCTGTGGTCAATCTTTGACGAGTGCAAGGAAAAGAATATTTTGAAACAATGATCGTAATCCGTGACCGATTGTGAAAGATCGAGATCGCTACAATGTAGTTCAATCGACATTCTCACTAAGACTATTCTCGTAAATGAGATCCTTTAAAAGCTTGGAAGGGTGGTAGTCTACTTTGGAGGCTTCACTGGATCGCTGGACCTCGAAAGTGAAGTCGAGAAGGCGACACCGACTTAAATGTAAATTCTCATTCGGATTTGAAGCGTCTTGAAAGCTTTCATGAGATTGAGATTCGCGTAAACTATCTGATCTATTGAGACATTGTAGTCATGTATCATTCTGACGGGTTACTGCGGCAACGCACATTCCCATTCCGCACGCGAGCAGGTGCTAAGAAGCTTTAGTCGAGAATTCATTTTGAACTTTCCTCTTAGTAATAACAATCCACGCTATTTTCCATTCGGTAATTTTTCAATAGCACGCGTTATTCTTAAGCAAAATGGTCAGTAATCCATGCAAAAGCACAAGAGGCGTTTACCAGCGTTATACAAGCTGGAGAAACAAAAAGTATAAAGCCGACTGGGGTTTTCTTAGGTAGAAGTAAGCGAGCTCGTCTATTCCATTGGAACGCTCAGAAAGAAAAATGATCCGTGAGAGCATTGCTATTATCCATTGCTCAAAGCAATTTCCCATGCCTTCGCACGCTTTGTTGTCTGCTTTTTTCACGTTACTCTTTCGTATCGACTCCACTCCTCTTATGAAAAGCGCCTCTAAAATTCCTTTAACTCATTGGCTATTGCTTTCTCACGTTACACTCTTACCAGCTCCTTTTTCTTTCAATGTTAGTTCTCTTTTCTCGTAGCTACTGCGCACTCAACCTTTATGGTTGTACTTTCCAGCTTGATGGCCGAATTATCGAAGATATCGACACTCTGTCAAATGTGCCTGGCAGTCTCGCTATTTGTTTCGTAGCAGTTTTTTTTCCTTCAATCGTTTGAAGAAAATTTCTTCTTCTTGTACGGACCGTTTTCTTTTCTTATCATCAACATAGTGATCGTTCCAGCAAGATCAATTATGTATTGCACTTCCATAAAATGCTGGTACAGGTGTCTGATATTTTCATACGGCTGAGATGGTTTTTACTTCTAACAAGTTACATATTGATTTGGTGGACATACGCTGACTTCGGTGCAAGCAAGGAGTGATTAATGATGTAGTCCATCAGGAAGCGAAGTGCCGCTTCGACCCCATCCCAACGCTCTCGTCCAATCCACGTAGGAAGACCTTAGTTCGGTTGTCTTCTTGATTGTAAGGCGAATCGTCTCGACCAGCATTCAACAACATACAAGGACGAAATCCTCAAGCAGTAGCAGAAACACGCGGAATGTTCGCAGACCACTGTGGGCGGTGAGTGGGAGGAAAACGATTTGAATAAAAGAAGTGCTGAAATCCACACGGTAGATGTGAGGACGGTTAATGTAAAATAAATAATAAAAAAGCCAACTTTATGAAGGCCAGTCATTGGATATGCTAGTTGACAGACGTTAAGAGAAAATTCTAACATTTTATATCAGCAGAATACTCAGAATATTCCTACCTTTCGTAGAACTGAGGAAACCAACGCGAAACCTCTCAATCAGGCTTTTTTCATTTTTACCTGAACCGACCTTTTGTATTCTGGTAATACGAGCATTTTTTGCATCCGATTCGTTTCTTGACGTCTATCACTTGAGAACTTCTTCGAATTTACATGTAGGCTCATTCCCCAGCTGAGCAATTCCTCTTCATTATGAATGTCGTTAAATCTGATTGAGTCGAGTGTTCATGGACCCGTGGAATAGTCATTCTAGGAAGTTCCCCGGCCTTCAACACGGGCCAATGTGACCTTCGTCGATTGGAGAGAGGTTTTCACAGGCAAGCCTGGCACTAATTATAGCAGATTTCGGAAGCTTGACATTGTGTGGAGTCGAACCAGCGATCACGCGAGTATTACTGCGCGACATGATATAATAATTAAGCGATATAATTGTCTAATTCGGTTTTCTAGCGCACTGGTTAGTGGTGTTCTGTAATATACACGTAGACGGTGCTACGATCCCACCTCCAAGCTCACCAAGCCTTCCAGTTGTCAGGGTTCGGCATACTAGCGCTGGAACTGTGTGGGAAGATAGCAGCAGTGACCTCATACACCGTCGGGCCACCACGAGTCACTGGACAGGTCAGATGTGCATTCAGTCACCTCTAATGATGCTTTATGAAGCCAAATGTGCGGTACGTCCTTAAGCACTGATCAGCGATTGCTTATTCTCTTATCCTTTAATCGTTTATTACGTCTTAATACAATCTCTAGATTAGTTCAAGGTGCGATTTAAAGTTGTGAGAGGTTAAATAAGGACTAGAGATATTACTTACATAGGCTGCTGCATCATACATATAAGAAGGAAAAATTCTTACATGATTTGGGTCCTGTGGAAGCAAAGTGCAACTGTATTTTGTCTAAAAAAGCGATAAAGCTCTCAGCGTTGATCAATCTCTTAGGGATGCATTCGTTTTTGATCAATTTCTTAGGAATGCATTCATACATTCGACTTCATCAAGTATCGTTTGGAGGTGATTGAATGCACATCTAGCCTTTACATTGACTCGCGGTGGTCTACCGATGTATCTAGCCAGTGCTACTATCCTCCCAGACAAATCTAGTACCGATTTGCCGACTCCGTAGGGATGGAAGGCTGGGTGAGCCACGGGCGCAGGGACCGATTCCAAGTGTGCGACACAGGGTGTCTCCGACCACTGCCCCACAAACGCCATTATATTATATTAGTACACTTTCTTTCGTTTTCGATTGAGGCTACAGCACCTAATTGCTTCCTGAAATTAAGTGTTATTAAGGTTTATGAATTCCCGAATGAAATACGTTGTAAATAACCTCTCCAAAGAACTCGCCTTTCAGACTGTAGAAGAAGTTCTGCTATACTGATATTTTAGCAGTTATTAAATTTTTAATAGCGGTTGCGTTTAACACTCCACTGATCCCCCTGATGAGTTGTGAGCTGGTTAGGAACTACTCACTGAGGGAAGTCGCATTGGTTTTAGAGAATAGAATCCTTGTTTCAGATGCTTCGTATTCTCTGCATCTTCCATTTCTACGTGACCCCGTAAATGCATAAATGCGTCGGTACTCTTGAGAACATGTGAAGAGTATGTATCCCGTATGGCTAGCGACTCATTTTTCGGTCGACGACAAACTAGCGTCACTTATTCTTGAAAAAGCACACCAAGTCCGAGCAAGCCACTTATACATTCATCTAGCTTCTTCCGTAGCAAAAAAGTACCTAGAGCGAGCCCAGTGTCTCAGAGGCTAGGCGGGGCGGAGGAGAGCTGGTGGCAGCTCGATTCACACGATGATTAACGAGAACGACAAATGATGTAGGTGGTGCGCCTAAAGCAACTTGGCTAGAATACTTGTTATAATTTATGTCTCCCTAGCCTGTTAGACCAATATGCAATTACTTCTGAATTCACTTGGCTATTTTGTAAGAATATGTGTTGGTCTTTTTCATGTTCCTGTCTTCCTTAGTGCTCTACGCCCTATTGCTTACTTTGTGCTTACTGTTATCCAGCTATCTGATTAGATTACGCTCGGCTCGCCGTGAACTTTTCAACTATTACTTTTACTAGACTTTAGATCAGCGACCAGTCAGAAGTTTTGCTATTTTCATATCGCTGTTCACCCTCACTTTTTCCTCTGATTTCTCCTGAATGGTAAGCGTAATGTGGCGCTTACGAAAGTACTATATGTGAGTTGATTTTTTCATATTCTCATCCTCAATTGTTTTTTTTTCGACAGAAATTATATCTTGACATTAATCGAAAGAAAAAGAGCATAGTACTATCATAAAACATTATAATCTGTGGGATTCCCTGTTCAATAGCTTAAGCATATAATTATAGAACGCGGAGCAGGTGGCGAATAAATTAGTTGCGGTAAGCTGAAAAACTTCAATTATTGTCCACACCCACCTTCCCTGAGGTTCAATTATGCAAGCATCTAAGCAAGTATATTTCTTTGCTGCTAGATTGTTGGTTGTGCTAGAATCAATGATGGAACTCATGGAGGGAACTCGGGTAGCACGGTTGTCGCAGGACTTCTTCATATATTTCATTGAAATAGTGCATAAATTTTCATCGAACTTCCCTTTTCGGTATTCGGTAAAAGATGCTGCAATTTATATTTCGCAGATTGATTTAAAGGTATAACCGCCGAAGATTTCAATGACCCGAGATGTGTCATCAGAAGAAAGGGCATTTCGTTGTGGGCGCTCAGTTTGCAACAACTGTTCGGCCTGTCATCTCAGAAAACTCTCGCAATCCGAGAAACTACCAACGCAAATAGCAGCCGCTTTCTAATATCCTTCCTGTAACTGATGGAGATTTCGAAACAAACTGGTCGAATATTCGCAGGCCATTAGTAATCTTTCTCGGAGTCTCGCCTAATAAATCTTTTTATCCAATTTTTCTTTAATCTTCCTCTTCAACTTTTACTTGGCTTACGTAACAACGACCACCTGCGGACCATCGATTCGGATCAACACGTCTCTACCTAAGGCGAAGGCATCGAAACGTTAGCCGAATAAAAGCTCTATACTAACCTCTGTTGTAAATGTTTCAAGAGAAATGTATATTTGCACTTTTGAGTTGAGATCGAAGGCACTACTAGAGACACTCTTTTCAAATTTGTTGCTCTTCTTTCACGTCGTAATTTACGCTGTTTCTTATGTAATCTTTAAAATTTTTCTTATGTCTGACTTTCTATTTACCGCGCATTGTTTTCCCATGACAGTGTATTGTGTGAAATACAACCGCAATGATGCTGAGTTATTTTTAAAACTTGGGCTCCAGGCAAGATTAGAACTCGCGATTTTCCTTTCCGGTGGTTCACGTGTTACCCAATGCAACACTGAGGCCCTCGCTTTGGCTTTCTCTCAGCAAGTTTTATCATCATCAATCGTCCGTCAACGGAAATGATCTGCTGAACACAAATCGGCATTGACCCTAGTTAAGCTGAAGATGCAGTCGAAATCATAGTGTGTAAGTTTTTATTTTCTGATCCCTCGATCAATCCCTTTGACGGGTGATTGCTGAAGGCAGCTAGGTTAAAATATGGCTGACAGAAAGCTGAAAGGAAGGACCCGAATTATGTGCCGGTGAACACGTCAGCCACCGGAAGGGGTAATAGCTGGTTCCACCTCGATACCCACCTCGAATACCTGCGGTCGATAGTTTTACAAATACCTCAGCATTATTGTGCTTATAAATTTTTATTTCGTGCCTATTATTTTTTAAGCACGATTTAGCCTCTTAACTCTGACCTGGTGACTCGACCCCTACAGGAGTCACGGGTTGTAAAAGTGATGATTGCTTTCAAATTCGAATCAATATTTCTTACCTTAAGGTGAATTTCATCGATTTTAATCAAAACCGTTGGAATCTGCAGCGCATTATGTACTAGCAGCAAGTCTAGCAAGCAGCAGCAGTGCTAGCAAGATTTCTAGCAGGTTGAGATTGTATTTTCTGGAGCTCATGAATAAGACTTCTTTCACATTTTCTTTTAAAGACGCAGATTTCGAATAAGAAAGGGACAGAACAACTGTGGTCTCGTTGGGCACAACTGTACTCTCTAGTGTACTCATCGCATACGTTTGTAGCAGTCGCTTTTCAGTTGGAAATTTTAAAACTTTAAGTTCTTTTCCCAAATTTTCGACGGTTTCAATTTTAACATAATTAAATTTTAAGAGACACTATACAAGAAATGTATACACAATTAATACGATGGAGCAAAGTTTCCTCTAAGCATTTATGAAGTTCTGAGCTACTGAAAAGCTTTAGTGATCGAAGAAACAACTTCAGGTATCGAACGCCGGCTTTCTCACGAAGGGGTTAAAAATAGTGCTAGAACTCCGTTTGATTCTTTCTTTTACATTCTCGTTTGCCATTTTAGCAATGAACAATCAGTAGCCAGCATGAAAACATGGTATGATTGAGAAGGCGCTGTAACCATCTGTTTACCAGTTGATCGCAACCAGTTGTCTTGTGGTCGAAATCCAGGCTTTCTAACTTCTCATGAACAAAGCAACTGTAGTCACAGTTGATCTGGATTTTTAGGAGGCGAGAGTTTTTCATCAGATCCTCTTTGACTCGGCATGTGTTCACCTGAACGGCGCAGATGTTAGCGATTATTTCAACGCGCCTTAAGACTTTCCCTTCCCAATCTATGCGCTATCGATCAGCTGGGTGATTTTTCCACGCTTCTCTCTCAGTATAAAACAAAGAGCTTGATCATTTTTTCCGTAGTAGAGTATTTCTCCTATGCTATACTCTTACCTGGATTATTCTTATCCGGTTTTGTTAACTACTAACTTTATTGGGCCATATTAAAATCTAGCAAAATCTAGTCGAGTAACGAAAATCGAAAAAAATAATTTATGAGTGCTGTTCGAAAATTCTCTTGGAGTCGAAATAAGCATTACTAACATTTTTTATTATTTCGTTTATGTAGGTTGACAATTTCTTGCCATTAATAGGCCACTATAATGTGTCTACGAAAAAGGTGGTTGTAGGTTTTCGAGATATACATATAGTCTCTGACTCGGTAGGTCCTGTCCTGTACCGACAATACCTATCCACTCCGGTATGTGCAAAAAAATGCTAAAATTGTACGGGAAAAGCTTCGTATCCATTCATGGAAGCCGACCACTGCTGTGCTTGAAATCTGATGGAGATCTCTGACATTCAAGAAGTAGCCGAACACGACAACTCGGGCACTTTTGTCAATGACGGAGTCAAAATAATGAATCGAATGATATAAGGGTTGAGATCCACACCAGCGTATGAAGACGACTCATGTTGCAAGTTTAAAAAAAGTCTACTAGCAGACGTAATCGCAGAACGTAGCCTCATTACAGGTGGTGTTGGCGAAAATAGGCTAGTCGTTGAACAATTTTGTGCAATATTCTTCTTACAATGGTTAAATAAACATCTACATAGTCTAAACTGGAACAAATGTGAGTGTGGACTAAACAGCGCATTGTACATTTTGACTCTTATCGGTCATTTTCTTGAGATATGTGTAGTTTAAAGGCTACAGATGCTCTGAAATACACACAATCTGGTTCAATCCCGCACACTAGGCTCACCAGGCCTTTCATCCCCCAGAGTCGGTAAATTGGCACCAGCGTTGTCTTCGAAAGCAAAGCATTGATTAGATAGATTCGTAGGTACTGCAAGTATAGACCAGAAGTGCATTCAATCTACAGTAGCGGTGCTTGATGAAGTTGAAGGCATGGCTCATCTCTCTGGGATTGATCAATGCCGAAAGCTCTATCGTTAATTTATTATCGGTTACTTTTTGAAAACTCAAGTTTGTGAGTAATTTTCAGTAATTCAAAAGAATTCATCTATGATATGCTTAGGCATCTTGTCCATTTTTCAAACTGAGAAGTCTTAAGTCTTGTCCTCCAACAACCCTCCATATTCCGTTCTAAATTTGACCTTTACCAGAAAACTATGAGCAGCTTAGAGCTGCTGCTCCCTCAAACGTAGTGGTAGTGCAGGGATAATGCTAGCACTGTTGAATAAAATCTGGCTATTCTTATAGATTATTCAATGGCAATTAAGTGTACTCGAACTGTGTCATCCGGTGATATTCGGACAATATAGTTCTACTCCGCATGACAATATTTATTATCTATTATACACTGTTACTTATTATTATTCACTTTTTTAACTTGTTTGTAAGTCTAGGCATAATCAATGTGAAGGGTTTTTTGAAAAGCCGTCGGAAATTCCCAAATACCATCAGACCTTTTCCGATTTTTTCGGAATTTCTCACCTGCTGTGGCCCGGTTTTGTTCATTTTTCAATGTTTCACCTCTTTCCTTGCCTTTTCTCATTTTTCAGATTTTGTACCCTTTTTCCTGAAATTGGCGCTAAATTTAACCTTGCCACAGTTTTGGTTAGGGTGAAGTATAAATGTACAAAAAGGCGATTCAAATTAAACCGCTTTTCGGGCAATTTTTTCCTTCGTTTGTCTCCTGTAAATGAATTGTGCAAATAATGCCAGTTTTTACCACTTTAATACCACGTTGCTAACGAATATCGTTCGAAATCGAATACTATGCTATTCGTCTTCAGGCATCTGTTTCAGTTAAAGTTTTTCTATGAAGCATCTGTGAAGAGCGAATGTAATAACATGAGATATTTCCACCTGTTTATAACCCTGGAAAACGTATGCAACCATTCAAAATCCTCCTCTTCCATCCCTTTTTCTGACCATTATCTCTTTCTTCTGTCTTCACGTTCTCGGTAATGATAGTTCCTAATACACTGGTGAGTGCAGTCTTTGGATCCGCCAGAGGGGTTCGCTTATTTTCCGGATTCTTTTCTAACACTAATCGCTTCGCTACAACTAGGTCCGGGCTATGGCTATCAAGAAACACTGGTAACACAACTATAAGAAGGCTAGAAAGTAGAATTGAGACAAAATAAGAATAAAAAAGCCGTCACAGAGGTTTGAGAAGATTTCCAATGATTTTAGATCGGTGAGATGGTTGTGAAAGTCTTCCACTAAACCAAATAGTAAGGAGCATCTGATGAACATTGTTCCAAAATGAGGAAGCCGCCCAAATTTTAAACGATTTCCCAAGTTTAAAACTTTTGTTTGAAGTTCGAGGAAGACTAAATCGAACTGACTCGTATGAATGTTATCTGGATCGGAATACCGGCTTAAAAATATGTAACGCAATTCTTCTGAGTTTTTCAGTCCTCCTATAATGGACCTGGAAGAGGTAAATGGTGATCTGCTACTGGATCACAACACCAGAACTTCTAGTCCACAACATGGCACTCCACAAAACGAAGAAAGGTAATTCATATTTTCCACTTTCCTAAGCATTTGGAACATCTTATTCGATAATTCTTTCAAATTGTCAGAATAAAGCGGTTGAAATTCTCTGGTCTAAAAGTGCTTTTCACCAATCGGCAGAAAAATAACCTTCGGCTTATCGTTAATTTTTCGATTATCTGTTTCTAGTGAGTAGAAATGGTGTGTTTCTTTGCGTTTTCAAAGTGCAGCTCTACGTATTAAAGGTACTCCTATTACTTAGCCGAGAGTTCAGGGTGAATAAGCCAGCTCTATTCCTAGTGGTTAGTTAAGAGTTCAGGCTAAATAAGCCGGCCATCTTTCAATCCTTAGTAGGATGTTTTATTTATTGTAAATTTCTGCTCAATGCAAAAATTCCAACTTACGTCGCTATCAATAATGCGCCTACAAAAAATCGGAAACCATTGGTTAGCTCTTTTCTCGGTTAGCTCGGTTTTAGCTGCTCTTTTCCGCCCGTAAACGGAAACTTAAAAAATCGGAGCTCATGTTTCCTTAGAATTTCCTTAGTTCTAGCTTTTGAAATTAGGCATAAACTTCTGTTCGTCAATGAGACCTGTCTCTCCTTGAAGCATTTTTGACCGATAACTGTTGATAATTCCTCAGTCACTGGAGTAATTACTGGATTGAGAAGTTCACAGACCTATACCAAGAGGTTTGATCTATCGTTTTAAAGTCATGTATGATTCTTGGGAAACATTCTTTTAGTCGTGAAAGGGTTTAGGGTTGGGGTTTCAAGAGCGTGAAAACGGAATTTAACCTTTCTGAAAACTTCTCACTCAAGCGTGGTCGGTTCAATAGCCAACTCTAGATTGGGGGCAGTGTCGCGTTCCGCGGGACAAATTCCCACCTTTTCGTTGAGAATGTTATCCTCAACAGAAGAGAAAACGGGAAAACACACACACACCCACACACACACACACACACCACAATGAACTAGATACAATTACCAGAAGAAATCCGTCTTGGTAGAAAAGGAGGACTTGGACCATATGAACAAGGTTCTACTGGTTTTCCTTTCAGCCAATAAATGATCCAACACACGTGGATTCAAAGTTGAAAGCGATTTTTTCTCAACCATATAAACTTTCATCATGTTTTCAAATTGTGGAGCTTAAATGACATTGTTATAGAACTTTTACTTGGCTAACGTTTCGACATCTTCGCCTTCATCAGAGCCGATGGTGCACAGTCGTTCGTCTTCTCCATTTGACGTCTTCACCGTCATATCTACTTGGATCTTCTTCGGTGGAGCATCTCTCGAATGACGCGGACTCGCACTTGTAAAAGTCATGCAGGCGGAGTCATAAACAAGATGTTATCACCGGACAGTCACTATTGTTAACAACCAGCGTCCCGAGAGTCGCCGGATGAGAATGCCTCATTCGAGAGATGCTCCAGACAGGAGGTTCCGACTCGACACGAGGACGAAAGCGTCGCATCGAGAAGAGGAACAACTGTGGACCATGGACTGGGATCATCGGTTCTGGTGAAGGCGATAGTATGGGAACGTAGGCGAATAAACTTTTTTATCAACCTCTTAATTAGCTTAATAATTTAAACACATGTTCATAGTCGTTTCGAGGTTAAAGGAAAATCGGTTTTGAAACGTATGAACTGTATTGCTCATATGGTAGCGAATCTATTAGAAAGTAATCGTGTTTTAATTTAGGCTGAGTAAAAGCGACCTGATAACCATCAATGTGTCCGGCTTGCGATTTCAAACGTTTGAAAAAACGCTTTCCAGGTTTGCTTCGTTCATCCTTCACCTCGTTGTTCTCTTACATTTCATTCCTTGCTTTCATTTTATGCTTTTGTGGTCACTTGTTAGTTTCTTTGGGTTTCTTTCTTTCTTAATTTTTATTTGCGATCTCTCACTCTTCCTCTGTTTACTCCTCCCCCTCTCTCTTTCTCTCTTTCTACCTCTACATATATGCACATATACATTATATATATATATATGTATATATTATACACGTATGTAAACATATATATGTATATACAATCACAATGATGCTGAGATATTTTAAAAGTTCGGAACCCCAGTTGAGTTTCATTACCCATTACGGAGATCACGCGTTACCCACTGCACTACAGAGACACTTGATTTGTTTTCCTCTCGGCCAGTTTTTTACCCCTAATAACGGTGCCATCAGCACTCACTCGACAACGGAAATGATCTGCGAAGCGCAAAACTGCACTGCACCCATTTAGGCTTAGGCTGCAGTCGACATCACAGTGTAGTTTTTTTTTATTGTCTTTGTATACGCACAAGTACACACATTTTTTTACGACTAGACTTAACAGGGATCTTTAACCAATTTTGTTGCATTCATGGCCATGGTATTTTGCTTTCATTAGCTCATAACCGTTTGCTCTACATGAAGGTAATATTAGGTTGGTGCTCAAATAATGCTTTTGATCCTACACACGTTGAACACAAGAACAGTTCTAAAAGCTGTCATTTTTGAAATAAGCTAATAGATAGTATCCAGGTCCTCAGTTTCTCGAGAAAGGTTGACGTCTCATCTTAGTTGGTTCAGATGGAGATCGTTTCACAAAGTTGTACTTGAAATGGAAGGAAAACTTTCAGAAAAAAAATTAAACCTGAAGAAATAAACGAAGGTTGAACTAGGAACGACGGTCCTTCCATATGTTTTCCGTTTTTTCTTTTGTTTCAGAATTGTTTTCCACCAATACGAATGTCTTCGGGGTGAATAGAATGTTTATGAGATTTGGGTTCTCACCTACCAGCTATAATCCCATTAGTCATCGACCGATTCTACTTTACACCAGTAACACCTTCACTTTCATCATCACCCACACGCCAGCATTACCAAGAGACTTACACTGGCCGGAAGTACACAAAAAGCGTAGCATTTCTGGTTCAAGGCACTTTATTTTTGTTGTTTTTTTGGCAACACAGTAGCTATGTTTATTTCGCGAGAGATCGGCTTCGGCGTGGAGAGTTACTGGACACGTATGCAAGTTACTTCTTACGCTACCCTGCACGTTGTACACTTCAGGCAGTTGATGAATTAAATAAGGATGAGTCCATGGAAACCTGCATAAAATGGCTGTAAACAATTCATAACAGAAAAACTTGCGAGTAAGCAAGTGTTTCCATGGCGATACGCTGGAATTCGAGGTGGCGTCCAACAAATTTTCATGTTTCAAATCTAACACGAATAGATTTTATCCTACAGTATTCCACTTTAAATATCGCAAAACGTAGAAAAATAACGATCTGGTCGTGGTGCAGCATAATTTCTTATGGGCCTGAGCCTACGGCTACTTGGGTTTGACTTCCTCCGAATTTCTTCCCGAATTTGCTATTGTGTCGTTCCGAATTTGTCTTTATACAGTTCCTTCGTTCCTCTTGCGATTCATTTTTGCAGCGAAGCTTTTATTTAGAGATGATCAGTTCAACAGAGATCTGCTCCAGGTGCCAAAAAATATTTCAGTTTTCGAAGAGTCAAGTAGGTCAACTTGTATAACAAAGTGTTTCCGACAATGGTCGCTAGCATATGGCATCGTTTAGAGGGGAAATTCCTTTTTATGCGAGTTTGTGTCAATATGAGTGGTCTTGCGACTTTTCAAGAAAGAATTTCGTTTCGTATTTTATTTCTTATTTTTTTTATTTTTCTGTGCAATCGAAGTCAACAGCTGAGGGGAGTGCAAAAGGACTGAGGAACGGTTCATGGGTAACCATAGTCTTCCCGTCCGCCTACCACGGAAGGCACAGAAATGACCCTTTACTACCAAAGTTGCTATTCAAACAATTTTCGTTTATTCTGACGGAGAGAGAGAGAGAGCTGCGCTTCTTGCAAGTCATCCATTTTTCCGAATTTTTGAAAAATTCTCTTCCAATAGTGGAAATTGTCGTTTATAAGGTTCGGCTTTTAAAACGAATTATCACACCGTCGCTATCCTTGGCTATTTTTTTTCTTTGCAGGTTTCCAAACAGCTTACTAGGATGTAAAATTAAGCGGGAGAAGTTCTATTTGCAGGACAGCAGCGAGTACTTTTTCGACCGACATCGATCTGCGTTAGTTGTTCTACGTAACATTATGTCATATGTCCTGATTATAAACTTCAGCCGATTCTCTTTCATTTCTGTGAGCATCCACTCGTCCGTAGGCTCATAGCATTTAAATACATTTATTGGCCACCATATGACTAGGTCCTGACCGACGAAGAAAGTAAGAAAGGGAACTGCTCAATCCACAATGAGAATTCTATCTCAACATTGTCAAAATGGAAACTTCCGCACAAATATTCCAGTGATGTGCAAAGAAAAATATTGCTAAGAGCCGAGTTTAGAAATGAACGAATTTCATAATCCGTGTATTGCTGGCACTAGCGTTAGAGCGGTACCTGTTTCATGGCCACAAGAACCATATGTCAAATTTGGCCCTTGATGACCAAAGTGTCCCAACTCGTTGGAGTCATATATAGCTCATATATTCCACCATCTATTAACACATACGTGACGACACCTAATTTCATGTTTATTGCGAACTTACTGGTTTTTAAAAAATATTCGTTAATTTCCTAATAGCTCTAGCCTTCATAGTCCCTCCGGGCTCGGAAAATTGCTACCAGACCTGCCTGGGAGGGCAGCAGCACTCATTCGATGCCTCAGTAGGCCACTGCGAGCAGTCGTATAGGCCATATATGCATTCAGTCACCTTTAATGATATTTGGGAAAGTCTAATGCATAGCGCATCCTTCAGGGATTTCGCCGAGAACTTTTCCTTGTCCTTTTAACCTTGATTCATCGCAGAGATTGGAATACAAATAACAATTAGTTAATCAGTCAAATTACTGCCTAATGAACTCGTTCGGAAGAGGTTTTTATACATTATTAAGTATTCAGAGTAGGAAAACGCTTTCTGTAGAAAACCTTCGGTGTATACCTGTCCCAGCAGCTGTCGATTAACAAAAGTTACAAAATGTATGGAGATCTATGAGGAAAAGAAAGAAAAAGGTGAAAAGAAAAAGTCTCCAGTAAACTACTGAAAAGAACATAATCTCTGTTGGAGTCGTAACGGTCGCAATGTTGTCATCCTCCATTCACTGTCAACTACGAATATCTCCAAATGCTTTAGCTACGTTTATCTAGATCTGGAAATCCTAATGATGAACGATTTAGCTCCAAAGTTCGGTAGGAGAAAGCGAATGGCGTGGAAAGCTTTCAAGAGCATAGAAGATGTAGTAAAGAGAACAAAGAACACCCGACTCTTTGCACATCCTTTCGACCCCACTATTCTCTCCGCCATAACAAATGCGTCAGAAACTTGATCGCTGCATAAGCGGGATGAAAGATCACTCAGCGTTAATGAACTCGCAGTCGAAAGGACTATGCGAGGAGTATCCCGTGTCACACAAGTAAGGAAAGGGATCCGAAACTTCGACCTGCGTCAACGATCAAAAATATGAGATGCTGTTTCATACGCCAAACATTCGAAGATGAGGTGGGCCGGACACGTAATGTGTATGAACGATAGGTGATGGACAGATGTCTTTCATGACTGGATTCTTTGGGATGTCAAAGGTACTGCAGGAAGACCATTGATCCGATAGTCAGACCGGTTCACGAAAATCCTAGAAGAAGCACATCATGCTCAGGGAGTGCCTAGAGAAGACAAAAACCACCGGGCTAATCTTGCATGCGACAGGAACAAATGGAGGATCTACTGGCGCCCGGTCGAGCCAGTCAATGAACAATGGAGCGACTGGTGGTACAGGTGTTTCCCAATAATGATTTCTGTAGGAGCTGTGTCGTCGCGTAAGTGTTAATTGGGAGGTCCTGTATGTCTTATTTGAGGTCCTTTTAATGTTTATCTCTAGATAGAAAATACATGGAAATTTGGTAACTTCTCAACAGAACGGACATTTAAGAAAGGAAATTAGCAATTAACAGTGCTTTCCACAAGCAATTTGAAAGTCAAATCATTACGAAGATTATTTTTCGAGGTTTTGGAGTTCTATCGGATCACTTTCGAATAATTTAAGCGAGATTATGCGGTAGTATAGTATCCTTGAATATTTTAGCAGAGACGACTTCGATTGGCAGACTCGCGTTGTAAGCATTTTTACTTTTTTTCTCTCTCCTCCTTTCTATAAGATCTGCATCCACGAAACCACAAAACGCTTGCTACTTAAAAAACCCCATCGGTCGTCACCTGAAGGTCCCTACTAACAATCCTGCTGCTCAGCACCATGAACTATATGCTGTTGCAAAAAATCGTAAACTCATTCTAGGTTTGAGTCGATCCTGTACATCTACCAAAGTGGAGGACGAGTGAAACGACCTGAATCAGTGCCCATCGACGTTTTTTTGAGAGAGATGCGATTTTTCCAGGTGATTACCTAAATATCAGATTAAGCAGTAACAATTTCGACCAGATGAATTAGATGTTACTGTATGTTCGTACAATGCCACAAATACTCCTGTCATTACTACAACGTAAAGTAGAGAGACTCTACCATCTCTCCTATCCTCCTGTCTCCTTGAGTAATATCTAAGGGAAAAAAGTGACAGGTAGAAATTAACCGAATGTCAGGCATTCATCGACACTTCCAATTATGAGCTTTTCCTTTCCACTTTACCCTTTATAAACTTGATCGAATCGTCCAGTGTTTTCTATTATTTGTTAGGACCTTTTTAAAATTGTGGGCTCTAAGTGCCCGATGCCAACCTCACGTTTCATTTAGAAGTTCGAATAAAAAAATTGGCTTAGTTCTGTATCCATTTTCTTAAATTTCTCATCGATTTTTATTCTAAAATGCGTAGTTGCTACGTTTCTTCCCTTCTTGAATTTGAAATATTATTCCGTCTAAGTATAGCTTTTTTAGATGGGAGAAGATTTGATTGAAGAGTTCTGGATTTCCGAAGGTTATGAGAAACCAAAGGAGACCATTTTGCCGACCAACACTTCGCAAAGGCGACTCTGGGAACTGATGGAGTATCCGGACAGCTCACTGGCAGCCAGAATCATCGCCTTTGTGTCCGTCGCTGTCATCACCATGTGCGCTTCTTCATTAAAAAAAATCATTTTCTTCCTTGACAGTTTGTCGAGATCATCCACCTTTAAAAACAAAGCTAAAATGACTGCATTTCAGGGTTAGTCAAACAGGGAAGTTTTAAAATTTGATTCAACTTGTACCTCAATGTCACATACACTAATCACATAGATACTAACACTTCCACTTTACAAATTCTTCTCTATTACATTAATTCTAATCGTTGGTGAAATGTAATAAAAAGATAAAGGATGGAGCTCTCGGCGTTGATCAATCCCTGAGGGATGCGTCATGCATTCCACTTCATTAAGCATCATTGAAGGTGATAGAATGCATATCTGGCCTTTACAATGATGCTGCTATCCTCCTAAACAAGTTTGGTACCAATTTGCCGACCCCGAAGAGATAGAAGGTTTGGTGAGCCACGTGCTCGGAATGGATCCCATATTAGGTCGCAAGACGCTTCCGCCCACTACGCCACACGCGCCCTAGTGAAACGTAATAAGTGAATAAAACAATAATAATAAATAGTTAATAAATGAAAATTTAACAGTAAATCTCTAGGACGAGGTGTTTCAGTTCAATAGTGTCGTTTTGCTGGGAAACCGTGCCATCCGATGGTACGCCTAATGTCGACGCAATCTCATCGGCAGTCAACGCTACGTACGAGAAGGAGGAAGGTCGCAATCTCAACAATCCTTTCTTCTGGGTCGAACTTCTCTGTATAGTCTGGTTCACGATCGGTTAGTTTTATCAAGGCACCTAAAATCCGATATAGGAATCTTATAGGAAAAGTAGGCTTGTAGCTAAATGACAACATGGTGTTTGCTGAGAAAATCAGTGCACTTCGTTTAGTTGATGGTAGCATAGCGCCTGACTGAAATCAGCAAGTGCCTGAGATTTCACTGCTTGGCCTTTGGAGACTACGTTTAAGTTTTATCTTTGCAGAACTAACACTTCGGTTTATCAGCTGTCCATCGAAAGTTACATTTTTGACGTCGTTCTTAAACATCATAGACTTCGTTGCCATCGCTCCATTTTTTGTGAATCTTATATGGTTTGTTTTATTCTTTCCCACTTTAGTAAATTATGAGTAGCTTCTGACTTTTTGGCTCAGAAGAAGGCGATAGTTCCGAAACATCAGCTGCTGTTGTATTGTATTGTTTGTCTATGGAAGTAAATGTATGCTCGAAAGACCGACTTTCTATAAACCTCGGCATAAATAGTTGATATATTTATTTATGTGATCTTATAAACTGATCTTCTTAAGCTGACGCGAGGTTGGTACAGATCTTCGTTGTCGTTGTTTTTGATGTTATTGATCGATGGCAACGTTTCGGCGACTTCGCCTTCCTCAGAGCCTGGACGTATTTTATGTTAGAATACTTTTTATTATTCGGTGGAAAAGAAGGTTAAAGTATTAATGAAGATCAAACCTTCGAATAGACGCCATATTGAACAGAAAGGCTACCCACCGTGATGTTACGTGCGGGACTGACCCACACGTAGTTCACTCGGGTTAGAGGGAAACATTGGGTAGTTTCCCAAAATAATATTTCAGACGAAAGTAGGATCCCCTTTAAGCTGCCCTTCAAATCAAATGAAGTAAGTCACGCCATTAAGAGGTGCTTAAGAAAAAGTGATCTTGAAAATTATGTAACGATTGTTGACATCCCACCCAATACCCTACGCCGCCAGTTAGTTCGAAACCGTCTCTATGATCGTTTGTGCAGCTGAGAAAACTGTATGCTCTGTCCTAACGGGAGAGACGGGGATTGCATGAGTTTAGGTATAATATACTTGATCTCATGTAATGCGTGCGGAGAGGAATATATCGGGGAAACGGGTAGATCAATTTGTGTCCGCATAGAAGAACATCTAGATGGGAAAGCTAAAATCCGTTTAAACACCCCTCTAGATACGCATTGGGCACAGAAGCACAACGGCGATGATTTTGAAGTGAATGTGCGGATCCTAGCGCAGGAATCAAAAACATTAACGCGCAAAACTCTTGAGGCGTTTTGGATAAATTTCAAAAATCCAAAGATGAACCGGAAGGACGAATGCCTCACTATCACACGTGACCTGGCGCCCTATTTCAAAATGATATTTTGACCCCGGGGCGTGTCTTGCTCGCGACTCCACGTGAACTACGTGTGGGCCAGTCCCGCACGTAACATCACGGTGAGTGGCCTTTCTGTTCAATATGGCGTCTATTTGAAAGTTTGATCTTCATTAATACTTTAACCTTCTTTTCCACCGAATAATAAAAAGTATTCTAACATAAAATACGTCCAGGCTCTGAGGAAGGCCAAGTCGCCGAAACGTCAGCCATCGATCAATAACATCAAAAACAACGACAACGAAGATCTGTACCAACCTCGCGTCAGCTTAAGAAGACCAGTTTATATGATCACATAAATAAATAGAAATGTATGCTGTTTAACAACCTTGAGATTGTTAAACAAGAAAACGACGCATTCATATTCCAATGCCGAGCTTAATAGAAAGTCGATCCTGTGAACCTAATAAATTATTTAATGGGTCTTAAGTGAAGGTTGTTTTTAGAATATGTCCATTACTTGATACTTGATACTTGAATGGCTCGTTCTCACTGGTTGTGCAGGCCGCAGCATAACCTCCATTTTTCGGAGATTTTCTGGTTAAGCCATTATGGTTCCCTGGAGTCCAAAGGTCAGCCTGGCCAAAGCCTGCCCCAGGTCTTCACCACCATAGGCAGTCGCAGCCCTTGTGGATCGGAGGAAGATTTGCCACCGTGCGACTTTGATACCAGAACGGTGGTGGTTCCTGCTATTGGTTTATTCTTAGTTGGACTTTCTGATGGAAACGCCGGAGTATTTCTCAGTTTGGAGATCCTACCGAGGGTGAATCCGCCGCTGTACATTGCAGCCCGATACCTAGGAACACCTCCCATCCATGATGAGGCGATAAACCGTTGAGAGGAGTATGTCCATTTCCATCAATAAACCCTTCTTACTGTTTACTCTTTCCGATCACAAATAACATTTGCTGACTTTGACTCTACGATGTTTGATAAACGATTTTCCGATTAAATGATAAGACATTTTCGAATTATGTTTGTAAAAAACATAGTATAGAAATACAACCACGGTGATGCTGAAATATTTACGAAACTTCGGACCTTCCCAGGAGTTAACACGTTCACCACCACACCATGTGGATCATTCGTTTCGCCTTTCTCTCGGCTAGCTTTCTATCTACCAGTGCCATCTATCTCCCTATATCAATTCCGTTGACGGTTGATGATTGCTAATGGCACTGATAGATTATATATGAGTATTATGACTGCTTCAAGAGTTAGTTGTCTGTGATTCTGAAGAATTTATACTTTACCGTTTAACACAAAAATGCACCGGAAAATTCCAGGGCTGACGCCAGCAAGTCGAACTCATCCATGTCTTTTACGGTGCTGCGTGTTCTTCGGCTCGTTCGAGTATTCCGCATATTCAAGTTAAGCAGGTAAGTCAAAGCTTTTTCTTTCTTTGTTTAAAACATCTCACTTTGCCGGACAGGCCACTCTAGTTTTTTACGCACTTGTTCGTTTTTTAAATGATTCAATACACGCGTTTTATATTCTAAGAGCATGAGGCGCTTGTAGCGCAGTGGTCGGAGGCTCTGTTATACACATGGAACCGATCCCAGTGCTCCAGGCCCACCAAGCCCTCCATCCCTCGGGTGTCGGCAAATTGGTACCAGACTTGCCTGGGAGAGATAGCAGCACTGACTCGATACATGAGTACGCTACCGCGAGCCATTGTAAAAAAGTCAAATATGCACCCAGTCACCTCTAACGATGCCTAATGAAGTCGAATGCATGGTGCATCCCTCAGGGATTGATCAACGCCGAGAGCTTTACCTTTCTTGTCTTTTAAGAGCATGTTAATTTTTGTCTTCAACTCCTCAGTGATATGTAATAAGTTGTTTTCTATCGTAACTCTTTCATATTTCGACTAAAAATCTTTCTATGCTATTTTTCGTTGTTTTGATCTCCTCAACCAGTTACATAAAGGGTCGACGTTATTCCCTTAGGTATGCATGTTTAGGGACAGCTGAGTAAATCAGTTGAAGAGAAGTAGATTTTATGGACATGATCGAGCTTTTTGCATTGTTATGTTCGTATTACTTTTGCGAACTAAATGAAGCAGTGCATGATTCAAGCTCTCAGACAAAGTGAGCAAGTAGCAAGAAAATTTTCGAAAGGTTCTTCACGATCTTTGAATGAAGTAAAATAGATTTCAGTCGTCATTCTTTACTTAACAAATTTCCTTGCTGCTGACATTAACACAATCTGAAGTTATTCTTGTATAAACCTAACACATTTGCGGCCATTCCTCTTGTTTCTCTTGTCGCATGAACCTGTGCAATTCCTGTTTCTTACTAGATGTATAGCTTCTCGTTGACAGACGATTTTCTCCCGTATGGTAGCCGAAAAGGTATTATATTTTTTTTATGCCTTGCAACTTACAGAAAAACGATTACTGACACGAGTTCGTTTGTCCCCAGTCACAAAGGTAAATCGTTTTCTGAGCTCACTAAGATCCACTTTAGGCATTCGGCTGGTCTACAAATTCTCGGCAAAACGTTTCGCGCCTCAGTACAGGAGTTTTGTTTACTGGTTTTCTTCATGGCGATCGCACTTGTTCTCTTCTCAGCAGGAATGTATTTTGCCGAGCAAGGAGAACAAAATTCAAAGTTCAGTTCCATACCGGCATCATTTTGGTTTGTGCTGGTAAGTGGAAGCCGTACCGCACTTGAAGTCCGTCCTCGTTGTTTGGTATATATAGATATGTATCATGTATATTATTATGCACTTAGGAATATCTGTTGTCAACTAATACTTACAGGTGACGATGACAACAGTTGGGTAAGTGAAGGTATCGTGTGTTGTGACTAGTGTTCAACACAAATCTAACCAAATTCTAACTCGATATGCAGTAGATGCAGCAGAGCTGTAACTATCAAGAGGATGGAACTCGATGCTCCGTCCAGTTCCATCTGCAAACATCACCCTCATTAGTGTAGTGTTGCTGACATCGTCTCAGAGCAGCTAATAGATAAGTACTACTGTAACTCAGTACATATTCAGATATGGTGATCTCGTACCGTTGAGCACTCAAGGCAAAATTGTTGGATCTATGTGTGCCCTTATTGGAGTGCTTACACTGGCTTTACCAGTACCGATTATTGTGAGTTTATCATCACCTCATGTCATTTCTACGTGAAGAAATATATAAGCACAACATGTGCAGACTTTTCGGTATTTTTTTTTTCAACGAAAACTTAGGATTTTCACAGGTTACTGAGATAACATGAGGTTCTTACAAAAGTTCTATTCGGCTAGTGGTTTGTCGCCTTCGCCTTCTTTAGAGCTGAACTAACTCTGAGTCCTTTCCATAAGAACCTTGTGTTAGCTTAATAATTTAAAAAATTATTGACCACTTATGACAGGGTTAAATGATGGTCGTTTTTAAAATTGTCTGAGAATTTAAAGGTGACGTTATTTCACGCTATTGTCGTTTTTTATTCACTACTAGGTCTGTTAGGAGAAGCCACCAACGTATAACCAAGCTGTCGACGTTGTATTTAAGAAATTTTATAATTATCACCAGTTTTACCAATGTATTCTTAAATGTTCTGAATAATTATAGTTTAGGTGTCTAGAACAGTGATATAAAAGCTTGGTAGCAGATCTTCCATGAAAGGGAAAAATATGAAATAAATACCGAAACACTTACTTGGATACTTGGTTGGCACGTGTTCACTGGTTGTGCGGGCCTCAGCATAATTTCTACTGTTTCAGAGTTTTGCTGATTTAGCTATTGTCGTTCCTCGAGTCCCGAGGCTATCTAAGCCAAAGTCTGCCTCAGGCCGTCACAACCACAGACAGTCGCCGCCCTTGTGGATCAGAAGATTTGTCACCAGGCGACTAGTTTGATACCGGGACGGTAGTGGATCCTAGTATTAGTTAACTCCTAGCTTAGCTGAGTTTCCTGATGGAATCGCCGGTCTCCATCACAACAGCTTGGGAGACTCTGTTGGGATGGGTCAACACCGACTTTCTTTTAAACACATGTATTCTCCACAGTAAACGAATATTTTTCAACCATGAGCAATAAAACGTTCAATTAATCGTCCGTTGAAAATGCTCCATTTAACTGCCAGCATAATACTGCAGGTCGCGAACTTCAAGCACTTCTACCGTCAAGAGAACCGACTGGCAACGATGTGCACCGTTGGAAAAGATCTGGAGAATGGGGAGGAGAGCGGCGAGGAGGACAGCTGACTAATATTGGCAAGGTTACGTCCCAGTAATGTGAACCTTGAGGTAAATCGCCCTTCTGTCTTGTTCACAATGTCACCGCTTTGAGTCCTGAACCCGTTCACTGTCCCAAACATATTCACATAGTGTTCGTCAACATTTATGTCGATGAGGAAAAAACAAAAGTATAGCTATACGATGTAGCAATTTTCTTTATCATGGAAAACTTGGCACGTTACTAGATTGAATGGAAAACGAATAAGATATAGATCGAAACAAAATGACCACATGAACGAGAACATGAACCGGCTTCAGATGTCCCCAGTAGTAATGATGAAAATCCGTCCCTGACAACATACTTTAATATTCATACGGAACCACTTGATAACGATTCCATAGAGCGACTGCTCATTCCTAGCAGTGATCGGATTCCTGTGTTCTTATGAACACTTCTAGATGAACCCATGTGAAATTGCTATGAAATATTCTACAACCTTAGTGAAAACTCAAAACTTAAACTTCAGTCGTGGTTAAAAGAAGCTTCGAAGCTACCATTTAATAAACCTATGCAAATACAATGCGCTTAAGAGCAGGATGAAACTGAAAAGAAAGTTTTCTGAAGTTTCGCTATACTTTCAAGCCACCATGGCACGTATGGTGTAGATACTGTTTCCATCTAACCGCGACTATAAGATAATATTTGTGTATAACATAGAGTCCTGTGGTGTTCCACTGGACGACTCGATGCGACTACGAAGACTCCAAATAGTGAAAAAATCATGGTGGTCTTAAAAAGTTGAAGGAGCATAAAGCATAGGCACAGCAAATTTTGCAGCAAGCTCGTGTTAGCTTTCAGTGAAGCAACATAGTCAGATAATATTCTATGTACATGGGTTAAAAAAAGTGGAACTGAAGAGCAGCTGTGATTTCTAAAAGCATTTTTTCCAACTCTACTCTTGGATAATACTAGACTAACGTTTGTGGAACGATTAAATAACGAAACACATTCTCCATAACTTCACTACTTTTGGCGAGTCCTCAAAAAATGCCTTTGGGTACTTTTTTTCCACAAAGTCTCCACACGTTCCGTTATGCTAACACTGGATATCACAAATAAGGAATCTCACCCGTTAGTTTAAAATATCGTACATCTTATCATTGTATTATAGCTTGAAGCAAGCAGATGGAAACTGTTGAACGACCTTGAGCGCTACAAAGCGCATGTTGAATCGATAGGTCCTGCTGCATTCCTACAGTCCCATAGTTACGTGACCCCATAGTCCCTAATGCATAATGAAGTTTGCAACGTCCAAAAAATAGTGAACTGCCCAAATATCACGAATCACGACTTATGCAAGTTTGATGTTAAATTGTTGAACTGTTACAATAAAAACCGCGAATCCTTCAGTGAGATTAAAACAATGAACCGAGAAGCATTAACAGTGCAAAACAATCCCTTATTTTTAAAATTAAGGTCTGCAGTGCGAGCAATAGCAGCGAAGACCCAATAACGGAAAAACAAAGATCTACGCTTTCACTTCCTCGCAATCTACTGATGCCAGCGAACGTTCTCGGAAATCGAAAATCGTCGGTCTTTTTCTGACACACTGACAATCACAAAGGGACGTTAAACCTTCCTTCGAAAGTCGTCTAACTCAGGACCCTTGAAGCTTCCAACTCGACCATAATCCTTTTGCCTTTCGTTCTTTTTCTTCGCACTACATGTCGAACCATTCGCTTCCTTTTTGCAAATATTTCGTGTTCTTCATTCGGGTCATCGATGCTGTACAACAATATCATCCACATGTTTTTCACGTAATAAGTTATGAATATAAATGTAAATAAAATGAAAACCGATTTATCTGTGATAACGAAGCCAGTTTCGAGCATGCTTACATAGCATTTAATGCAATAAAACTTTACATTCACCTCTGTACACCACAACAACAATGCTTCTCAGTAAGTGAATGATTGACCCGTACGAGTGATCAATAAATAAATAGATGGTGACTATGGTGACAGAATTCCTACCAACATATTGGTTCCCTTTTCGTACAGGGCCTCACCTATGGCAGTCAGAATCTAAGATAAGCATACAAACTTGCTCTAAACAAACAACACTTTGTTTCAGAGAAACAGTTTTCAATGAGTTTCGAGACAAACAAACTTTGGAGAAAACCCACTGGAAACAGGAGAATAACCAGCAATCAGTGATGTTAACCATATAATACACTTGGATCACGGTTACATGTCTCGCTCACATCGCTCACTAGCATGTCCTTAGGCAGATCATCCTGATCTACGTATATGATGCTCTTAAGGAATAATAACACTTGATTATAAATAAATCGGCAACACGAAATCAGACGAATGTAATTAATAGTGAAAATGAATAGGATGCAACCGACCATATCTTCTAGGTTACCGCCATACTGTAGTTGTAACTGTTCGTATTGCTCGGCAGTGATTGTAGTGATTGTAACAATTTCGTCCTCATTCTGTAACAACAGCGCAGTTTTGTTAGAAATCGAGACTCTGTATTTAAATCTAAACAAATGTTAGGTCACTCAGAAAGCTGTACACAATACAAAGCAGATTTCACCGAAGTTTTGCCTTAAAAGACCAGACTACGTCACGTTTTCATCCCTTTCCGTGCTAACCGAAACAGCTGGAAATGGAAAAAAGCAATGGCATTACCACATCAAATAGCGATTGAAAAACAGACGCTTCGAGCAGTTCGAAATACAATATGAATCACACGACGATTAGGAACGAGCTCGACAACATTCAGTGATAGGCAACATCTACGGAGAAAAAGACGTAGAAAGTGATCAAGGAACTGACGTAGAAGAACCTTCTAAAGCGGTTATTAAAGTTGAAAAAACCCTGAGAGAGACAGAAGTATAGGAAGACAGAAGTCGAGTATTTCACACGAATGAGAAGGTTGGCAATGGGACACAATGAGACCAATATCAAATCTTGCTATTGCATTTATGTCTGAGGTGAAAGCACCAATAACCGTTCACCGGCCACTACTCTGCTATAACTATGTAGATGACTGCTCTGTCATTAGTTTCACAAAAAAAAAGACGGACTAATTTTCTAAGTTGTTAAATGAACAGTCGGAATACATTAAGCATACCCGAGAAAAGCCGAAAAAAATAACTTCCATTTCCGAACGTTCAAATTAACATATCCGACAACAGCTACATCCCCAAGTGGCACCGAAAGCCAAGCAACAAAAATATGCCGGTTCATAAGCTCTCTTCTCACAACTCACACACGAAATGGACGCTTGTGATAAACATGTTTCGAACGAACACCAGCGTGTGCACAGCAAGACAGCAGAAGAAGGAATCCTGGGTATTGGCGCGCTAAACAGCCATTTTTAATGGCTACGAAACTGAAGCTCCTCGGCATAGGTGTTGAGCAAAAGCCAGGCCCACTTAAACGGAAGCAAGTTCCGTTTAACCTGCCTTTCATCTCCAAAGAAGTACGCACAGCTACTAAGTGATTCCTAAAAAAGAGCATGTGTAGAGGAATCGTTGACTGTGACTGAAATATGACCGAATACAGCAAAACGCCATCTAGTTCGTAACCACTTGTATGGTCGTCTGAGAATAAAACAAATCTAGTCCCAGTGGTATGGAAGGCGATTGGACGAATTCGGCTACGGAGTTCTTGGTTTTCTTCAAAGCGTTTGAAGACAAGCATATTGGCGAAACAAGTAAACCACTCTGCGCCCATGCAAAACAGCATCTAGATGGGAAATCTAAAGTCAAGCAGAACACTCTATTAAGCAACCACAGGATACAACGACATAACGAAGAAGATTTTGAAGTAAAAACCACTATCTTCGCATAGAAAACTAAGACATTAGTAAAAATTTTGGATAAATTTTTTAAAAAAGCCAAAAGTTAGGAGTGTTTTATGGAAACGCGTGACACTGTCGCCATATCACAGGCTAATTTTGTGAGCTCAAGCAGGCACATTCCTCACCCCACCCACTCTGTGCGGCAGGTTTCCATCAAATAACTGGGAAAATTACAAGTAACAAAGTGGTGAGCTCTGATCACAATCTTAATTTATTATTTCCCGCCTACTCTTTTTAATGGCAAGGTATATTGCGAAATATCGTTGAGAGACAGGCGAAACAAAGAACCCGCATGGTGTGCTGGTGAACGCGTAACTACCTGGAAATGTCGATAGCGCGTTCGCTCCCCACCGCATATACCTGCGGTCCGGAGTTTTGCAAATATCTCAGCATCATTGAAGTTATATTTCGCTATATACCCTGCCATCAAAAAGAGTAGGCAGTAAATTTTAAAAAATAGTGAGTATTTGACAAAAGTTTATCACGCGAATGAATTTGTTTCCGTGCTGAGGTTACGAAAATTTTTGACTGCGTAGATTGCATGTCAATATGTCACCTTTCCAAGCTCTGAAGAGGGCGAAATAGCCGAAACATCAGCCATTGTTGAATGAATGTTGTTAATAACAACCTCGTGCATACTCAAGAAGAAAACACTAGCTCAATAAAGCCAGAAAGCTTGGCAAATTGGTGGAAAATGCTTGCTGAATCGCACATGGTGGAATGATTTGACAAGCTGCTCAAACAGAAAGGTTTCACATAAGCGCATGACAATGCTTATAAAGATTCAGTAGAATGTAGGAAACGCTGAATAAGTTAGAGCTAGCTCAGGTTAGTAACTATACCCTCGTGCCATAGTCCGAACAGCTCAGTTTCCTAACATCTGCATCACTTTTCAAGGCAAGGAATTTTGGAAAATCAACGAAATTTCAAAAGCGCTTCTAAGATTTCATATCAGTAAGAACTATTTTAATTCTAAATTAGCTCACTGGAATGAAAATGTTGGACGGTAAGCCGAAATTTTAGATCGAAAACGTGCAACGATTTTCTGAGTGACCTAATAAGACTCTAAAAAGCAAAAAGATGCACGTGATCAACTGGTTCAACGAGAATTTCTTGTACAAGGTCTGTTGACGAAATGCTTGGATCACAA